GGCACCCCGGCGCCCGTCTGCTCGGGTCACCTGCGCACCCCTCGAAATCCCTCCGCAGCTGCGGGGGGCGGGGCCTTGCCACGCGCCGCTCCTCCAGGAAGGGAGGGCCCAAGCCTCTGCCTCAGTTCCCCAGCGCTGGGACCGCCGCTCCGGAGACGAGAGATCCGGGTTCTAGACCCGAGGCCTGCCCGCCATGGACGCCAGACACGCCGGGAGGTCTGTGAGACGCTTTTATTGCAGCTCCGACTTGCGGACACCCCTGTTCCCACGCGATTCTCATCGGGGTTAGGGGGAGGCCGCCCCAGGAGGCGCCCTGCCCCCACCAGAGCCTGGACTCGGCTTTCCCGCCCCCCAAGCAGGGGCTTTGGCCTTGGGGGTGCCCCCGACGTGCTCGCTCTCCGGTCCTGCCCTGGGCTGGGCGGGCAGCTCGGCGACTCCTTCCGTCGTGGCCCTGGGGCCGTGGCTTTCCGGACGACAGGCCAGCTGCCACGACGTCAGTGGGGCTTGGGGACGTGGCCATCCACGTAAAAGTTCCTGGTGATCTTAGGCAGGGTGAATTCGGCCCCTTCCAGCTCGGGGGTCAGCACGATCTGGCAGCCCAGCCGGGAGTTCTCCTGGAGGAGCGGGGCCATGTCCAGCATGTCGTCCTCCCTGGGGACACGCGCAGCGTTAGCGTGGCGGGGCGCCCCTGCCTGCAGCTGCAGGTGCCCGGGAGGAACCCGGGGGCTGGGAGAGGCGCGCAGCTCACCTCTCCTCGGGAGGCGGCAGGAGGTCCAGGTGGTCCTGGCTCACGTACACGTGGCAGGTGGAGCAGGCCAGGGAGGCTTCGCAGGCCCCTGGGGGCAGGAAGGGAGGTGGCATCACTGCGGGGGGCAATGCCAGGCTGGTGCCACTTGGCCAAGGGGGTGAAGGACTGGCCCTCTGCCTCATGGTTCTGGTGATCGCTGGCTCCTAGACCTGCAGGCCCACTGTGTGCATCTTCCACCCCAGCATCCCCTGGCCCTGCAGCTCCCAGCCACAAGGGGTGACCTGTCTGGGCATGTGGAACTATGACGAAGGGTGGATCCTACAGGACCGACTGTGTGGTTCGAGCCCTAGACCCGGCAGCCTGGAAAACACACCGGGAGTGTGTGCATGTGTGCCCCAAATCCTGAGAGAAGTGACAGCACCCTGGCCATACTCCAGGGAGTGAGTCCTCACTTTCTGTCTCTGTCTAGTAAGTGCATACGCCCTATGGCAAAGACCTGGGTGGCATGGCGGTTAAAGGTGCTGGGTTCCCACATGGCGAACCGTGGTTCGAGTCCCTGACCTGGAGGCTTGCTTTCTCGCTTTCCCTTGGAGTCTCTCTGTCTCTGCCTTGTCAAATGTAAAAAAAATAATACTAACCGTGGAATTAAATAAATAATACTTAAAAAAAAAAGAAATTCAAAAAAAGAAATTAAAAAAAGTTTCCATTTTTTAAAGAATTATTAATTTTATTGTCATTATTATTCTTTTACTCAGCCGGAGTGAGAGAAGTGAGGAAAGCAGCCTAACCAGTGCCTTAAGCACCATGCACCTGCAGATCCCAGAGCTTTCTGTGGGGATTTTTTTCCCCTTTGGTTAGAGCATGCTAGCATTTGCTTGCTGGAGGCACAGAGACAGGGAAAATGAGAAAGGACCTTTAGGGAAATGACCACATGGCAATCCCCTCCCCTCCAGTCTCCTCTTAGGGTTTTGCGTATGCACACTCACACCGGGGTGTCTTGTTCAAGCCAGCGGGTCCAGGACTTGAACCCTGCAGTCATGTGGGATCCAGCATCTTAACCACCACACCACAGGCTGGCTACCACTTTTTTAAAAAAATTGCTTCTCAAGGGGCCGGCAGGTAGTGTGGGGCCTAAAGGCACTGGGCTCCTATGTGGCAGGGCACGATTCAAGTCTTAGACCTGGCGGCTCGCTTTCTCACTTTCCCTCCTCTCTCTCTCTGACTAAACTGGAAAATAATAATAAATAGAGTTAAGTAAAATAATTTTTTTTTCCTTTTATTTTTGGAGAGGTTTTTGCTATAGGGTGTGTGCGCTCGCCAGCGGCGTGAGCGGGGGGGGCCGCCCCTGCCTGCAGCTGCAGGTGCCCGGGAGGAACCCGGGGGCTGGGAGAGGCGCGCAGCTCACCTCTCCTCGGGAGGCGGCAGGAGGTCCAGGTGGTCCTGGCTCACGTACACGTGGCAGGTGGAGCAGGCCAGGGAGGCTTCGCAGGCCCCTGGGGGCAGGAAGGGAGGTGGCATCACTGCGGGGGGCAATGCCAGGCTGGTGCCACTTGGCCAAGGGGGTGAAGGACTGGCCCTCTGCCTCATGGTTCTGGTGATCGCTGGCTCCTAGACCTGCAGGCCCACTGTGTGCATCTTCCACCCCAGCATCCCCTGGCCCTGCAGCTCCCAGCCACAAGGGGTGACCTGTCTGGGCATGTGGAACTATGACGAAGGGTGGATCCTACAGGACCGACTGTGTGGTTCGAGCCCTAGACCCGGCAGCCTGGAAAACACACCGGGAGTGTGTGCATGTGTGCCCCAAATCCTGAGAGAAGTGACAGCACCCTGGCCATACTCCAGGGAGTGAGTCCTCACTTTCTGTCTCTGTCTAGTAAGTGCATACGCCCTATGGCAAAGACCTGGGTGGCATGGCGGTTAAAGGTGCTGGGTTCCCACATGGCGAACCGTGGTTCGAGTCCCTGACCTGGAGGCTTGCTTTCTCGCTTTCCCTTGGAGTCTCTCTGTCTCTGCCTTGTCAAATGTAAAAAAAATAATACTAACCGTGGAATTAAATAAATAATACTTAAAAAAAAAAGAAATTCAAAAAAAGAAATTAAAAAAAGTTTCCATTTTTTAAAGAATTATTAATTTTATTGTCATTATTATTCTTTTACTCAGCCGGAGTGAGAGAAGTGAGGAAAGCAGCCTAACCAGTGCCTTAAGCACCATGCACCTGCAGATCCCAGAGCTTTCTGTGGGGATTTTTTTCCCCTTTGGTTAGAGCATGCTAGCATTTGCTTGCTGGAGGCACAGAGACAGGGAAAATGAGAAAGGACCTTTAGGGAAATGACCACATGGCAATCCCCTCCCCTCCAGTCTCCTCTTAGGGTTTTGCGTATGCACACTCACACCGGGGTGTCTTGTTCAAGCCAGCGGGTCCAGGACTTGAACCCTGCAGTCATGTGGGATCCAGCATCTTAACCACCACACCACAGGCTGGCTACCACTTTTTTAAAAAAATTGCTTCTCAAGGGGCCGGCAGGTAGTGTGGGGCCTAAAGGCACTGGGCTCCTATGTGGCAGGGCACGATTCAAGTCTTAGACCTGGCGGCTCGCTTTCTCACTTTCCCTCCTCTCTCTCTCTGACTAAACTGGAAAATAATAATAAATAGAGTTAAGTAAAATAATTTTTTTTTCCTTTTATTTTTGGAGAGGTTTTTGCTATAGGGTGTGTGCGCTCGCCAGCCAGCCAGACAGACAGAAAGCGAGAAATCACCCCCCAGGGGGGATGGCCACACTGCAATCCCTTCTCCTCCATTCTCCTCTCAGGATCTTAGACATGCACGCGTACACGCCCGGAGTTGAGTTTTAAGCCACCGAGTCCAGGACTCGAACCGAGGTCGACTACGTGGGAGTCCAGCGACATAGCCATTACGCTAATTGCTGGTCCCAGTAAAATAATTCTTAAAAAAAAAAAAAATTGCTTTTCTAGGGACCAGCAGGCGGCGTGCTGGTTGGGCCTTGAACTCCCACATGGCAGACCATGGTTCCAGTCCCGGACCTGGTGAATTGATTTCTCACTCTCTCTCTGATGAATTAAAAAATAATAAATAAGTAATCCTTGAACAAAAAGTTGTGAAGAAAACTGCTTCTCTATTCATGACAGAGAACATCGTGTGAGCGAGGAAGGAAAGGGGGAGAGGAAAACCTTCCATGGGGTCGGCTCACGCCACGACCCTCTCCCTCTGGTCCTCTGCCCATCGGCCCCTGTGCACTTCCACACATGCCTGGCATATTTCAGGCTGACTGGGCGGGACAGGGGCCACGGTTACCATGTGGGATCTGCTTTCTCTTTTTTTTGAGAGAGAGATTTTTGCTACGGGACATGTGTGCTCACTGGAGAGACAGATAGAAAGGGAAAGTGAGGAAGTGAGAAATCACCCCCCCAGGGAGATGGCCACGCCGCAGTCACTTGGTTTTCATCCTCCTCCTGGGATTTTGGGCACGCATGCACATGTGCCTGGCGTGATTTTCAAGATGCCAGACCTGGGACTTGAACCACACAGTCAACTTCATGGGGTCAGCTGCCCTCCCCATGCCACCTGGCTGGCACCAGTTAGCCACATTTTTATTATTGTTTTTTCTTTTTTAAATTAAAAAAGGTTTTTACTAAAGAGGTTTTTTACTACAGGGCGCGTGCACTCGCCAGAAAGACAGAGACAGAGAGACAGAAAGCGAGAAATCACCCCCCAGGGGGGTTGGCCACGCCGCAGTCCCTTCTCCTCCATTCTCCTCTCGGGATCTTGGGCACGCACGCACACTCGCCTGGCGTGAGTTTAAGCCACCAGGTCTGGGACCCGAACTGTGGTCAACTACATGGGAGTCCAGTGACATAGCCATTACGCCAACTGCTGGTCCCCCTATTGTTTTTATTTTGAAGGCTTTTGTCATAGGGCACATATGCTTGACAGAGAGGGAAAGGGAGAAATCACCCCTCGGGGAGGATGGCCACACCACCATCCTTTCCCTCTGTCGGGATTCTGGGCACACGCACACATGTGCCCAGTGTGACTCTGAAGCCACCCGGTCCGGGACTTGAACCGTGGTCGGCCATGTGGGAGTTCAGTGCCTTAACCACTGCTGCCTGCTGGCCCCAATGTAGCCATCCCCATCTCTGAGTTCCCCGGCCCCCGGCAACCTGCCCTGTCTGCACTGAGCCTGGCGTGTTGGAGGTGCTCGGGAACATTCATACCCAGTGCGCAGAGGACGGTGAGCTGGGATTCACCTCCCCCTCCCGGACCTGTCAGACAACGGGGAGGGCAGTGCTGGAAGGCAGCCTCCTGACGCACCGGGGCTGCCAGGATGTGACTGTGACTCATCGGCCCACCCCCCGTCTCAGGGCAGCGGTCCAGACCTTCAAACTCCGAGTACTCCTTGAGCAGTGCCTTCTCAGCTCTGTGTCCTACCCCCTCAGCAGCCTCATCACAAGTCTGGGATTACAGACTAGAACAATCCCAGGGGCCAGCAGGTGGCAGGGTGGGTAAGGTGTTGGACTCTCCCACATGGCCGACCACGGTTCGAGTCCCAGATCCGGTGGCTTGCTTTCTCACTTTCCCTCTCTGTCTCTCTCTTTGGTCAAATTAAAATAAATGAATGAATAAATAAAATTAAATAAATAATTCTTTTTTTTTTTTTTTTTTGGAGAGATTTTCACTGTAGGGCGCGTGCGCTCGCCAGACAGACAGAGAGAGACATAGAGACAGAAAGCGAGAAATCACCCCCCAGGGGGGATGGTCACGCCGCAATCCCTTCTCCTCCATTCTCCTCTCGGGATCTTGGGCACGCACGCACACGCGCCCGGCGTGAGTTTTAAGCCACTGGGTCTGGGACACGAACCGCGGTCGACTACGTGGGAGTCCAGCGACATAGCCATTATGCTAACTGCTGGTTCCCAAATTAAAAAAAAAATTCTTAAAAAAAAAAAAAAAAGAATATAACAATCGCAGAGCCAGCTCTGTGGCTTGGTAGTTAAGGCAGCTGGATCCCCCATGGCCGACCTGAGGTTTAAGTCCCAGCCTCGGTGGCTTGAGAGATACATGAGCATGCCCCAAATCCTGAGGAGAGAGAGATGGAGAAAGGAATGGGGTGTGACCATTCCCCATGGAGCAGCCTTTCTCAATTTCTCTTTTTCTCCCTCTGGCGAGTGCATATGTCCTCTGGCAAAAGAAAACAAAACGGGGGGGGGGGGGACCGCGCGGTGCACGGACGTTGCCGGCAGATGGCATGGCCGTTTAGGGTGCTGGACTCCCACATGGCCGACCACGGTTTGAGTCCCGGACCTGGCACCTTACTCTCTCTCTCTTTGGTCAAATTATAAATAAACAAGCATACTAAATACAAGTTAATACCATAATTCTTTAAAAGCAAAACAAAACACAACAGAAACAGAACATCATAGAATAACCCCAGCTGCTCACTGGACGCCAAGCACGTGGCAGGGCAGGCACCGAGCCCTGCTAAGCACTGTCTCATCTGCACAGCAGTCGGGGAGATGGGGACTAAGACATCCGTCAAAGAGAGGAGGAAACAGAGAAGCTAAGTGGCTTGCCCAGAGTCACACAGCTGGCAGGTGGCAGAACTGGAGCAGAGGACACATTTCTCTACCACCCACGTTCCAGTCTCTGTCCTGTTCAGGCAGCCGCTGGATTCCAGAATGGAACTGGGGGTTGGCCTCCCATGATCCATTGCTGCCTTGTTTTTATTTTCTAAAGAATTATTTAATTCTATATTAGAATTATTATTATTATTAATATGGCCAGAGAGAGAGAGAGCAAACCACTAGGTCTGGGACTTGAACCACAGTCGGCCATGTGGGAGTCCAGCACCTTAACCACCACGCCACCTGCCGACCCCGCATCTCTGCCTTCTTTAGCGATTACATCGGGCTCCCTGTGACATTTCCCTTCATCTCACCTTCCCGGTGGCTGGTGACATAATTCTATGTTTTATTTTTCTATTTTGCCAGGGGGCGTGTGTGCTCACCAGAGCTAGACAGACAGCAAAGAGGGGTGAAGCACCCCACAAAGGAGTATGTGCATGTCCTCATGCAGCCCCTTCCCTTCCGCTTTTCCACCCTGTTGGGACTGTGGACATACACGCACATGGGCCTGGCATTTTCAAGCCACCAGAGCCAGGCTTTGAACTGTATTGTCAGTCATGTGGGATTCAGCTCTCTTAACCACTAGCCTACGGGGCCAACCTCATAATCACGTTCACACATGAGACTACTGTCCCAGAGAGGCAGAAACTGGTGAGAGACAGCAGAAGCCTTATCTGCTTTCTACGTCACTGCCTGACTCACAGGAGTATTCACTACTCACAGAAGGTCAGCACAGATCAGTGGCTAAAACGAGCTGGGTTTAGGGCCGGCGAGTGGCATGGTGGTTAGGGGTGCTGGACTCCCACGTAGCCGACTGCGGTTTGAGTCCTGGGTCTGGTGGCTTGCTCTCTCGCTTTCTCTCTCTCTCTCTGGTCAATTTTAAATAAATAAAATAATTCTTTAAAAAATAAAATAAAATGGGCTGGGTTTAAATCTAGTTCGGCCAATTATGTGCCATTGAACCAGATCTATTTAAATTGAGGCTCAGCAGTCAGCAGGTGTATAGTGGTTAAGGTGCTAGACTCCCACATGGTCGACCACAGTTCAAGTCCCAGACCCAGAAACTTGAATATTACACTGGGCGCATGTGCATGCATGCCCCAAATCCCCAGCGAATGGAGAAGTGTAGCCATCCTCAGTAGAGGGGGTGATTTCTCACTTTCCTTCTCTCTCTCTCCCTATCTGGTGAGTGTAGTATGTGCCCTAAGGGAAAAATCTAAAAATAAATAACTAGAGGTTCAGTTTCCCCATCTATAAAATGGGATAACAGAGCTAGCCAGTGTCAATGTGGTGGTTAAAGTCCTAGATCCCACAGGGCCGACTGGGCAGTTCAAGTACCAGGCCCGGCAGCCTGAAACACCTCGGGCACAGGTGTGTGTTCCTAAAACCTTGGAAGGAGGGCTAGATGGAGAAGGGGTTGTGGCATGACCGTCTCCCCTGGGGGGTTGCTTTAATCACTTCTCCCACATAGGGCGTGCACCCTCAGGCAAATTACAAAAAAAGTTAAAAAGGGCCAGCCAAGGTTCGAGTCTTAGACCTGGAGGCTTGCTTTCTCACCTTCGCTTTCTCTCTCTGTTGTGTATACATTCCTTATAATAATTTCTTATAATTCCTTATTGGAGGCTTGCTTTCTCACCTTCGCTTTCTCTGTTGTGTATACATTCTCTATAGTAAATTAAATAATAACAATAATAATAAAATTAAATACTATTTTTTTGAAGAGAGATTTTTTCTATAGGGCACATGTGGTTGCCAGAGAGACGGGCAACAGAGAGACAGAAGTGAGAAAACACCTCCCAGGGGGGATGGCCATGCTGCAATCCCTTCTCCTCCATTCTCCTCTCGGGATTCTGGGCACACATGCACGCGCACGCACACATACACCCCTTGTGTGAGTTTCAAGCTGCCAGGTCCTGGACTCAGACCACGGTCAGACATATGGGAGTCCAGCAATGTAACCACTATGCCATCTGCTGGTCCCAAATAAATTCAAGAAAATATATAAAAACATAAAAAAGTGATAGAAGTCTCCTTTATTATACAAAGTCACGACAAAAATTCCATTGTTTAATACTTATCAACATGTTTAAACTAAAGCCTGCTATTATTGTGTCTCTTTTAATAAATACTGCGCTAAGGGGCCGGCAGGTGCTGTGGTGGCGAGGGATGTTGGACTCCCACATGGCTGATGGCAGTTCGAGTCCCGGACCTGGCAGCTTGCTTTCTCACTTCCCCTCTCTGGTCAAATTAAAATAAATAAATACAGAAATACATAGTTAAATAAAATAATCCTTTTTTAAAAATACTGAGCTAGTACTTGTTATAGCTAAGCTCTATGAAAAGCAACAGATAAATATGGAAAAAGGAGGGGCATTTTTTTAAGAGAGATTTTTGAAGGGTCAGCAGGTGGCGTAGTGGTTAAGGGTGCTGGACTCCCACATGGCAGACCATGGTTTGAATCCTTGACCTGGTGGCTTGCTTTCTCACTTTCCCTTTCTCTTTCTGGTTAAGTTACAAAATAATAAGAGAATTAAATAATGTATGTTTTTTTGGGGAGCTTGCATTAGCATAATGGCTATGTCGCTGGACTCCCATGTAGCCAACCATGGTTCAAGTCCTAGACCCGGTGGCTTAAACTCACGCCGGGCGCGTGTGCGTGCGTGCCCAAGATCCCGAGAGGAGAATGGAGGAGAGGGGATTGCGGCGTGGCCATCCCCTCTGGGGGGTGGTTGCTCGTTTTCTGTCTCTCTGTCTCTGAGCACATGCCCCCTATGGCAAAAACCTCTCAAAAAAAAAAAAAAAGAAAAAAGAAAAAAGTATGTATTTTTAAGTAAACAGATGGGGACCAGAAAATGGCGTAATGGTTAGTTTTTGGACTCCCACGTAGTTGACTGTGGTTTGGGTCCCAGACCCAGCAGCTTAAAATTCATGCCAGGTGTGTGCGCATGTGTGGCCCAGAATCGGAGAGGCGTCTGCAGCGTGGCCATCCCCCTGGGGGGTGATTTCTTGCCTTTTGTCTGTCTGTCTCTCTGGTGGGTGTATGCAAAATCTCCCTCTCAAAAAAAATATATGTGAACAGAAGAAACAGAGTCCTCATTAAGGGATGGGTGACAAAGAACGACAAAACAGAAGTACTATGAGGACCATAAAACACGAGGACTGGCAGATGGTGTAGAGGTTGGGGGCGCTGGACTCCAGCATGGCCAACTAAGGTTCGAGTCCTGGACTTGGCTGCTTGCTTTCTCACTTTCCCTCTCTCTCACTCTGTTGCTCTCTGATCAAATTAAAATAAATAAATGAATAGATGAAGTTAGATCAAATAATTTTTAAAGAATTATTTTATTTAATTTTATTATTATTATTTTCAAGTTTGATCAGATGGGGGGGGTAGTGAAGTAAGTCACAAGATCCAGGACCTGAACTATGGTCAGCCATGTGGGAGTCCAGTGCCTTTAACCACCATTCCACCTGCTGGCCCTGATAAAATAAATCTTAAAAAAATAGGAAGAAAGAAAGAAAAAAAAATCCATCCATGCTGATGTGATAGAGTGACTGGGGCATAGGACGTTAGCTGAGCTGAGGGAATAGGATTCTTAGGGTCCTCGGGGAGAGTACATCAGATGAGAAGGAGCCAGAAAACTTGCTGGCAAAGCACTGCCGACAGAGGGATCGGCAAATGCAAAGACCCCAGGCAGGGTCGAGCATGAGCTCAGCCGTTTGAGGAGAGGGAGCATGTTGGTATGGGCTGGCCAAGGGGCAAAAGCAGTCATACAATGTTCAGCGATGCTGGAGCCACGCGGAAGGTCCCTGGTTTATGCCCAGAAGCCTCCCTGTACTTGATGTGCATGTCTCCCAGTGATCCTGGCTGGCTGAAGCCAGTGGTGTATTATGGCGTGAGGGCCCTGTTGGGGGTGCCTGTCTCTTTCTACATGTATTTACGCCTATATAAAAATTACAAAACAGGGGGCTGGCAGGGTGTGTGGTGGTTAAGGGTGCTGGACTCCCACGTGGCCGATCGTTGTTAAAGTCCCAGTCCTGGCAGCTTGCTTTCTCACTTGGCCTTTCTCTCACTATTTTGTTCTGTCCCTCTCTCATCAAATTAAAAATAAATAATAAACAAACAAGTAAATAAAGTTAAATAAAATAATTATTTTTTTAAATTACAAAATGAGGCCAGTAGGTGGTGTGGTGGATTCCCACATGGCCGACCATGGTTTGAGTCCCGAACCTGGCAACTTGCTTCCTTGCTTTCTCTCTCTCTCTCTGGTCAAATGGAAAAATAATAACAAATTGAATGAAATAAATAAGCAATTCTTAAAATAAAAATTACAAAATGAACTTTAAACATTTAGTTATTTATTTCATTTGCTACAGGGCATTGCCCTTGCTGTAGAGAGAAAGATAGAAGGAAATGGGAACCAGCAGTTAGCGTAATGGCTATGTCGCTGGACTCCCACATAGTTGACCGCGGTTCACGTCCCAGACCCGGTGGCTTAAACCCATGCTGGGCAGACGTGTGTGTGTGCCCAAGATCCCGAGAGGAGAATGGAGGAGAAGGGATTGCGGCGTGGCCATCCCCCTGGGGGGGTGATTTCTCGCTTTCTGTCTCTTTGTCTCTCTCTGTCTGTCTGGCGAGCGCATGTGCCCTATAGCAAAAATCTCTCCAAAAAAAAAAAAAGAAAGAAAGAAGGAAAGAGGGCAAGTGAGAAAGCAACCTCGGAGGAGGAGATGACCACTGTCCCTACTGAATTCTCCTCTCAGGATGTGGGGCATGCGTGTACAGTGCCCCATGTATTTTTCAAGTCTCCAGTCTAGGACTCCAACACCGCAGTCAAGTCGTGTGGGGTCCAGCCGCTTTCACCGTCACGCCACTGGCTGGCCCCCAAAATGAATTTATTTATTTTAAAAGGAGGAGGAAAAGGCAAGAAAGCCAATGTGGCTAAGATAGGAGGAGGAAAGGAGAAGAAAACACAC